TGATAATTTTTATCGTTATCTATTTTGTAATATACAAATGAAATGTCTCTATAACAATTTATTGCCTCGATTATTACATTCATCTTTTACTAATTTCGGCAGAAATGAATCTGTGATCATTTCTTCATATGTTACACTTGATAGTTATTATGAATTTGAACGAGCCTCGTATCGACCATACTGGCATTTGCATATGATTTACAGCTACATTGCTGGCAGTAAGTTTAAAATGGTAATACGTGTTAGCGCAGCTCAAGCCGGTCAGTCGCTTAAAAGCACCCAATTAGAAACTTTCTGAGGGCTGACCTCTCGAGCAAGTCTATTAAACCGGATCTAACTGGAGGAGTTCTTCGTCGTCTCCGCTAATCGAATTACATCTGTCATCATTCCGTCGACAATTCCGTCGACGACTGCGATGTCGAAGGGAGTCAATCGTTAACTACGGACATTGGTCAACGTAGCGATAATTCATAAAACTATTGTTAACGTATTATTACGTTTCTAAAAGTCAATCAGTGAATTATCACTGAAAGCAGCGAATACTCACTGATTTACAATTATAAATATACCGCTGCAATTTTCAGTAGTATACTTGTAACTGCGAATCAGTGACTATTCACTGCTTTTAGTGATAATTCACTGGTTGACTTTTAGAGAGTTTCATTTCAGTACTTTGTAACGTCCAGTTACAAAGCAGTTAATATTTTAGTGTTGTAAGAGATGCCAGTATAAGAACAGAGAGCGTCGATAAGTTATTAACTACCAATCTGTGTAAATTTTAAACATTAATGACATTTAAAGAAATTATTATAAGTGCTTTAAACAAGTTTCACAAAAAAAATAACTTTGATTACGAAGAGGCTAACGACAGACTTTGATAGGTATTTCAAATTACTGTCTATGCCTTTCGTAAAATGGAACACAGGATCGTGTGAATCAAGCAGATAATAGGAAATGGGCTGTACGGAGGATCTTTACCGGAGTTTCTCGACAGCATCTGATGGCTCCGTTTTAATGCTAGGTATCTGCGCTTTAATGAGCGTTACTTGAAGTAGGGGCTCCTCTCAATGCTAAAGTTCGCCATCGCGATAAAGGAACGCTGCGAACGCGATCGAAGAGCCGAGGCGTATACATCGAGATGACAATGGCCATTGTCGCCACTGAAACTCGGAAGATTTCAGGGAATGCTTCTGCGTGATACATTTGTGCGAATTTCATTTCATCCCGCGACGTTGTTCGGACACGAGCGTACGAATCGCATTCGTATATAATGACGAACGGACGAATTTTGTTCTCGAAGAGAACGAGATTCGAAGAAACGCGACGCGATATCCTCGTAGATTTTTCTGTGCGCGATAAAATTTACAACAATGTAATAATCAATGTTAAAATTAAAAAAAATTGATTTGAATTTGGTTTTTCCGTCTTTATAAAAATCGATTATTGACGTTATTGAGTTGTCAATCGAAAGATAAAAAGATATGTTTTTAACACCTAAAATTTATTTTTAACAATCTTTAAAAAAAAGAAGCAAATAAAAATGTATGTAAAATTATTGAGAACACACTAATAAAATTGAAATAAATAAAACACTAAAATCTAATATAAAATTATATTCCACATATGTGTACTTGCTACTATCTCGTAATCGAAAACCGAATGTCTAAATTTTCTGTGTTCTGTGATTGAATGAGAAATCTGTAATGGGGGGAGGGGGGTCACAGCACTTAAAGCAACTTCTTCTTGTCTACTTAGTTGCACAAAGAAAGGCATTACCGAGTTAAATGTATTTCTTTGGCGCAAGACGTAAGAAATCAGGAAGGCGATAATTGAACTCGGAGTTCGTCAACTTTAATCAGAACAGTTGTTAAATTCCTTTTTTTATTCTCAAATAAAAATCTAGATAGCCGATGAGAGTAATTGCAAAGGAATCTCGATTCTTAGAAAAATACTGGAAAATCGGAAAGCAACGAGATCTCCAGTTTAATGCAAACAACCTCTCGCGTCGGCATTTCAGTACTGCAACATCGTGTTAAATAGTTTATCGATTGGCACTTGTTATTCTCGCGTGCTACTCCTCTAAGAATTTTCTATATCTCGATAGAAAAAGATCTCCGATTAAAATCCTGAATTAATTTTCGATTAGAAGTCATCAATTATCTCGACTACTAGGAGTTTCTGTACAACTAGGGCATTTTCATTTGAATTCTGTAGTTAATGCTCCTTTACATAACGTATTAACAAAGCATAAGCATTGTAATGCGAAGCTTTAAAATCCTTTGCTTGACGCTTGAGAGTGAGGAAGTGTCTTAAAGCAAACTAGAAGCTTCCATGTCGTACGGAGGTACCTTGTAGCTAATTGCATTTATCTTGTCATAGCGCGGGAAATTATAGCGAAGAAAATTGCAGTCCTAAGTGGATTACGCTGCTACGTCGAAGTCTAAAGCTTCAAGACACGCGGCATACTTTCTTTCAACTTGTTAGAGACATAATAATGAAAGAGATATGACAATTAAGATCCTTATTATTACGAGTATCCTTAATCTCTCGATTAAGGCAAAGAGCATTTATATAATATTTACGAAGAAAATTGCACTTGCTGGCAGGCCCTACGAAATATTCCGATCTTAAATTCATTTTCTGGCCAAATCTATTTTTCTAGTGAGAAACATTGCCGCCTCAGCTACCAAAACTAAGTTAAAAATAAATATAAGTGTAATTCATTTTATCTGCCCGTATCTCAGGATTTAAGAATACGAAAAGTAAATGTGCAATCGTATTAAAAATTAGGAAACTTTAGAATTTTTAAGACGATTCTCGTCTCAGTAAATTTACGAGTAGCATGCAAACTATAACAAATAATATAATTCCCTGTGACAAACACTCACTTTGGTAATTCCCTCGATGAAAGCTCTAGTGGCCAGTTCACCAGGACCGTCTACTGTCTTGCCATCGTCATCCGGTCCCCATGAGGCGCTATAAATGTCGATGTGTTGGGGATTAAGGCTCAAGGATCTTGCTTCGACGGCATCTGTCACGTCGCCATCCAGCATTCGGACACCTGTGTGAAAATAGAATTGATAGCCAACATTACACATAATTGTGTGACAGCATATATTCCATATTCTTGATTGACTTTTCGAGTGTACATAAGTTTCTATGCGAATTTCTAATGGTTGGTTTAAGACCGTTTTTTTTAGAACATTCAAAGATATACGCATATTTATATCAAGAGTTTCTGAACTACTAAATGTACATTTCTCATTTGAGTTAATTATCATACGATAATTGTCGCGGCACCTCGAATAGAGATTCCCAATTTACAAGGTTGAAATTGGACACCGCGTACCGATTTAGATCAGTTCCGAATGTAATACACATAACAGGCTATTACGATTCTAATTCGAAAATGATGCGACCTCGCGATATCAATTCTGCTTATTACAAACACGTGTCGTTCGTAGTAGAGTTCCGACACCGACTTCGCTGCTGCTAATTGGGAGCAGAACGGCAAATAGATTTAAGCGATTTCTCGGAATTGAATTGTCGTTTTAATTAATATTTAATATTTAAATATTCTATCTTTCTCTCGCTAAAAGTTTTTTAATATCTTCTTTTCATTTTCTCTCTCGAACTTTCGCGCCATGAGCTTTTATTAAAATAGCAATTAAAATTTTACATTATTCCCGCTACGAAATTCAAGATTAAGACAAGACGCGGATTAAAAGAAAAATCTCCACAGCTCATCGGAGAGCTCTTAAAGTATATATCTGTGTGAAAGTTCTAGAAACTGCACGTGGAGTCTTTTTGATTCCTAAAGTGCATCGAAGTATTAAATAATGCTTTTCACAGAACACTCACCACCTACGCCAGCTCCAAAAGCAACACCTACGGCGCAAAGAGAATTGTTGGCAGTGGCTGCGACCTCTCCGGCGCACCTGGTGCCGTGTCGATTGCTATCTACCAGATCGTACCTCGGCATGGGATCTTCATCGTGACTGTTGACGTCGTAACTCGCCTGAGGATCCTACAACAGAAATGGCATTCATTAAAATTCACACGTTTCGTGACGAATCTCGCTTATACCGCTTCTATTCATCGCGAGGTATGAAGACTGTGTATATAAATAATACATCTATTTGATAAAAATGAAACACGCGCACCTGTGAAAAGAATCTTAATAAAAGTACATCTAGCGCACATCGCGAAATCACTCAAGGAAGATTTTAACAAAGTTGCGGATAAACAATTAAAGATTGTAAAGAAGAGTTGTATCGTCGAAACCTCTCCAACATGGAGAGATCTCGTGGTTTCGTATGTTCTCGTGGGTCGGGAAAGAAATGAATCGAATGCGTGGTTTTGAGCCAATGGAAAATTTCCTTTATTGGCTCGTGGGGAAAAGCCTTACGGCATAAAAACCCCAATGATCTCGAATCGAGTATGAATGTTGTAACAGGTGAAATTCGTGTATAATCAATTGCGACAGGGCCCCGCGATTGTGCAGAGATTCTCGCGCCAAGTATGACCACGCGATGAATCTCGTG